CTTCCTTCCTTCCTTCCTTCCTTCCTTCCTTCCTTCCTTTCTTTCCTCTTTCTCTCCCTCCCTCCTTTCTTTCTTCCCCTCCCTCCTCCCTCCTTTCTTTCTTCCTTTCTCTTTTCCAGGTTTAGGCTGATTCCCTCCTTCAGACACCCATTTAAGTATGGCTTCTCCAGGGAAGCACCTCTGGCCCTTGGCCCAAGTCATATCCCCTCGTAAGCAGTCCAGTGTACCAGACGCTTTGAACTTCATAGTACTCAGTGCCTTGCAGTGACACCTTATTGTCATTACTTGGCTTTATATAGCCAAGCCCCATAAAGGCCGGAAAGTGACTTAGTTTTCCTCCATGCTTTAGCTGTCCCATTTGTGAAATGAGACGTTAATACTATCTCATAGAGTAGCTATAGTCCCTATAAATTCTTACCACGATGCCTGGCAGAATCAGAACTGAAAGCCTGTTATAATTAGAGACAATATTAATAGAAACAGTAGTAGAGACATTTGTGCCTGGCCAAGTATTTGGTACTTTGTTGCTCAAAGTAACTGATAGTAAGAAAATATTGAAAGGAGGTTTAGTGCCTATCAAAACCTGAATGTACCTGTTTCATTACAGTTGCGGTGGTTATGTGTCTTTATCATTTATATGCAAGGACTTGTTGAGTTTAGAGCAAGAAGGAGAGTTTGAAGTTGGAAGCTTGCAGCAGCCAATTCAACTTCACTGGGCAAATGGTCTAGTGTGATGGAACATTGAGGCAAAGGGCTGTGTCAATTGAGAAGAAGGGTGAGATATTTATGGGTGGGTCATAGCTCTGGGAATGGGGAGAGCTGAGATGGGAGAGGGATTTTAGAGGATGCATTAAGCAGAGTTTGTGGTTCAGGCATTCAGGCAGGATTGCTTTGTGGAGGTTTATAGCTGTGCAGTCCGGTGGCCTGGAGCTGGGAAGAGGGACTTGGTCAAAGATAACTAACTTCAGACTATGCTTTCCAAAGGTGAGAACTGAAACTGCATGGAAGGTGGGATTAGGAAGCATGGAAGAAGAGGAGAGAATGGTTCCATTCTTAAGAGGAATACTTACATTGAGTAAGAAGGTCCCACTCTAGAATTAGGAAGAATCTTGAGCAAACAGGAGTCAAGAATGAAAGAAGCGGGTGTCAGGGTAGGGAAATCAGCCACAGGAGATTTTAGTGCTGGTGAGATGCAGATGAGTACAAGGAGAGAAAAGCCCTGGGTCACTGGTGACTTGGAGTAGAATCATGTAGGTATCCTGAGGCTGCCATCACAATTTTTAATGGCCCCAACTGGCAAGAAGTGCTGGCCACTCTTAACAGGAAGAATGTTAGAGAAATAAAGAAAGACTAGAGAATGTTTGCAAACATGGAAGAAAATCAATCAGGAGAGAAGAGTTCCAGATACAAACCCAATTCATTCACAGGGTCAAGAGTACCCAGTAAGACAGACTGGGTAGAGACTGCAAGATTGGGTGTTTGAAGACTGAGTGTTCTGAAAACAGGTAACTTTTAGGTGTGGAAGGAGTGATGAATGACAGAAGAGTCAATGGGTCAGATTCCTTCAGAGCTCATCCCCTTTATAAGTAATCAGGCTATCTGGCAATTCACATAGCCCATTCTCTAGCCACTTTGGCTGAGGAGGGTAGGAATCATAATTTTTATTGAGACGCACCGTTTGAAATTACTCCTTTAGCAAGGAGTGGTTGCACCTGTCTGTAATCCCTGCACTTGGGAGGAAGAGGTATAGGCAGAAGATTCCTGCAAATTCCAGGCTAGCCTGTGCTGGATGGTGAGTTCTGGCCCAATCGGAGGTGCATAACAACACTCAGATCTTAATTGTCCCAACCCGCTACCCAAATGGCACATGTCTCCAGTGGCAAGAGGATCTACTTCCAGAAAGAAGTTATGTGCTTGAGATGACGATCTGCAGGCACCAGGACTAGGGAGCATTCAGATGTTTCCTGCCCTGATTTATGAACCAGTGAGTCAGCTCACTAGAAATCTGCCACCTGGGTTAGGCTGCTAAAGAAGGGATGCCTAAGTCTGCTTTTTCTCTAAGTGTTCAGAACTAGTTGGGAAATACAGGGTCCTGCTGAGCAAGAGGTTGCTGTTCTGAGTATCCAGTCCATGTAGCCCACACCAGGTGTAGGGGACCTACTGCTGTGATTGGCTACAAGGCAGCACTGTCATTTGGGTTGTAAATTAAAAAGGGATGCAAAGAGTAGTGGCACCTGCCTGCTTTTGGGCGATCCTGATTTTGGGCAAATCAAATTAGGCAAGTCCAAGTCCCCTTGCTAGATGCCTGCTGCAGGGAGCATGTGCATAGCTCATACAGGCACAGATGGCAGGAGCCTGAGAGACGCTGTGTGAGTGGATGGGGACCCCAGGCATGCTCATTCTGTTTTCTTTGATCAACGTGCTTACTTTTTCCTGTAAGTGCTTCTTCAACTGTGTGTTTCAGTGTAAGCCCTCTCCTGCCTAGTGATTTTGTTCTTTCAGCTTGTCCCTCCTGTTAATGCCTACCTTGGATATAGTGGAGATCAGCACCCATCTTTCTTTGTTTGACTTTAGTGGAAAGAAACGGGTCAGTTCAGACTATCTTCAATGGTAGTGTGTCAAGTGTACCTTGTTTCTTTTCAGTGTATAGAATTCCATGAATATGGATGTGCATACACACACACACACACACACACACACACACACACACACACGCACTTTCAGATACATACACACATTTATTTCGTGTACATACATGCCTGTGCACATGTCTTTGTCAGTTTTCACTGATATGATAAAGTATCTGTTGGAAACTGATTAAGGGAGGAAGAATTTCTTTTGGTTCATTTTTCAAAGGGCTCAATCGATGGTTACTTTGTGTTTCTTGGCCCATAATGGAGCAGCACATGACTGCAGACGCACCTGGTGGAGAAAAGCTGATGGTCAAGAAGCAGAAATGGGGATATAGAAATGGCTCATGGCAAGGTACAGCCCTCAAGGACATGTCCTCAGAGACATACTTCCTCCAGTCAGTTCCCCTCCAACCCCTGCACTGCAAAGTTTCCAGAACCTCCCAAAATAGTGAAGCTAGTTATGGTTTAGATTTCATAGGGGCCTGTGAGGGACATTGCATGATCCCATCTTAACTTTCTTTGTATCTTAGCAGAGAGATATTGAGGATAATTTTGTGGTTGCTGAGGTTGTTGTGGGTGATCTTGACTGTATGATATAGCAGTGTGACCCAAGAAACAGGAACCTGTTTCAGCTAGTTTTAATATTTTGTATAAGCTTTTCTTTCTAAGTGTGTAGTAACTTCCATTCCTTCCTTTTTCTGTCTTCTTGAGTCTCCTTATTTAATTCCTATTTTGTTCTTTCCATATTCCTATGTCTTTGGGTCCATTGGAGTCACAGCATAGAGATCTGGTATAATTCATCTTACTGTTATCTGGGTGTCTTTGTGTGGTGGAGATGAGGACTACACACTAGGTTAAAAAACAAACAAACAAAACAACAACAACAACAAAAACATCTTTGGGGCCAAGAGTGACATTTGTTTACACAAGGTGGTTTGGTGTATGGGATGGGATAAAATACACAATGTCTGCCTAGGTAGTCAGCTTTCCATTTTTATCTGCCATGTCCCCCCAGTACACTATACTCTTTCATAAAGTTGTTAATATTCATCCATGCATTCAATCATTTATTCATTGAGTCATTTAATAGCTGAGCTCTGATATTCTATCTTAAGCTTTATGCATTACCTTCATGACACATATGAATTAGCAGAAGGGGAAGATGGAATGGGAAAAATACCCAACAAAAGTGCCCCAATACACAAATAACCAGTTGAGCTTCACAGTAGTAACTGCCCAAGAGAAAAACAGCTTAATTTACATTAAGAGTGAACTGTCAGGTAAGCCAGGGTAATTATACTGACTTCTAAGGGACAAGGAAAAGTGATTGAGGGTGGAAGGACAGGAGGAGTTGCCCAGCAGAAGCTTGCCTGGCCTGGACCTGAGGTCTGATGGAGCATGTCATGTGGCAGGGATCACAACTGGCCCATGAGTCTGGAGCTTGGCAAGCTGAAAAGAAAGGGTGGCAGGTCAGTGGCCTGGCATTATACCACACCAAGGGTTTATTCAAAGTGCAATGGGAAGCTGTTCAAAGGTCTTAGACAACGAAATGGCATGGTCCTCTGGACATTTCAAAAA